AAGCCTTCAGTCAAGTCTCACACTTCTTCGTTGGGTGATTTTTCCATGATACCTGCTTCGGCCGTTGTGTAGCTAGGTTGGGTAGTCGTTTTGCGAAAGCCTACCGTGTAAGCTAGATTCGACCCTCAAGATGTCGTAGAACATCACCTGCACACTCACAATTTTCGGTTTGTCACCGTTTGAAGGAAAAATTCAAGTAAAAAAATGATAGGACAAGGAGTGGTCACTGCGCATTCTACTACCCCAGCCTCCATAGACCAAATACGACTACCCTCGTTGATTTTTACGACGGTTGGCAGTGCTTGAATTATGCGCTTTTGTGATGAGAAGCCATTTGTCATTTGAAACCAAGAGTAGGATTTTTTTTTTTTGTCATTGTATAAGCAAAAAAAATATTATTACAGTATACTTCGCCGGTCAAGGTCTGTACTTGTCTGAAAATTCGAGTCGAAGCACCATCACGCGTAATTCTTCCTTGGTCAGCTCAGTTGGCAGCAGGTTTTTTCAGAACATAGCTTTTTTGCTGTGTTTGAAACATCTGGACGAACTTTGTGAATTTTCTAGAGAAGATCCATTTTAGTATTGTGTTGGGTGGAGTAGTGCTCATCATCATTTTCTACATACGAAAAAGTATCGGCAGTGAAGGCCAAACAGAGCATGTCGGGCTCAACTACAGGTTATCCTTCAATGCTAACTTCTCGGGAGCGGGGGCACAAGAAATCATGTTTCAGAAACTTTTCAAACACAGAAATATCCGTCATTTACGGAGCTCTACTCAGCTTCACCGTACTTTCAAATGTCATCTTTGCGCTGATGCCTGCACGAGGGACAACCGATTCTGAAATGGAAGCTGTGGAGAAATCAACGCTTCAAACTCAACTTGGTGAGGTTTCCAACCAACAGACTCTTCTATGCGATGCCAACCTCAACAAAAAACATTACTATAACGAAGCAATAATGGATTTTGTGAGTATTTCGTGACTGTGTAACTGTATCGAAATCATGCTAGAATCTCTGCGAAAGCGTACAGCCAATGTTTGCTTGTTGCTAGCTATGGCCTCCCTTTATTTATGTTAGGTTCATTCTGGAAGGAAAAAGACGTCATCTCTTGAAGAGACAGTTATCGGCCCTTTCTCCTCTTTCTTCAACATGTTCAGAGGGTGAATCATAGCGGTTGATCCCCACTAAAAAGAAGAGAAGAAGTGATACTCTCGAGGTGCCATGCCCTAAAACTACGCAAGCTAATGATGATTCTGTCTAGTCCATATACACTGCGTTTCATAAATATAGGTCCACCCTAATTTTTTGCTATTCCAAAGTTGCTGTGCATTTTTGGAAAATGCCGCTATTACCAATAGTTTCCCCATAACGAAAAACCTTGATACTTGATTTCTGGAGAAATCTCGATTCAGAATTATTAAAATATCTTCCTTAGAACGTATTTTCACCGTTTCGCAAATATGACTACACATCACTTGTCGAGAGATTTTACTATAACGAAAAAACGTCACGAATTTTCAATAATGGGATGACCCCCCAATAATCATAAGGAACACAATAATACGTTTTGAAATGCTGGTAGCCAAATTAGCTATTACAGTAGGATCGAAATTCGTCTGGGCGCCGATGATCGACCTTTTCAGCTTTTCGGCTGTTCCATTTTGCTTTACTTTGCTGTGGAACTTTATAACAATTAAGGCCCAATGATTCTCTATTGGAATCTAATTCAGATAACATGGTGGCCACCAGATAACTGCCACATTTTTTCCTGCAATTCCATCTGGCGCGGAGGGACCGGCATGGACAGCCGCGTTATCGTGTGTGAAAATCAAGGATAGAGGGGATCCTTGTTGAAAAAATGGTAAGACTCGCTTCGAAAGAACTTCACGATACCCTGTGGAATCTTTGTGAACGGAAACAAAAGCGAGCTCTAGCTACTCAGTCGTTCAAAGGTGCCTCAAACCATAAGGGATTCACCGCCGAAATTACGTTACATTGAAACCATCTGCGATTTTCACGC